AAAAGCACTCCAAAAATAAATCTGTCAATGGTAAAACATCATCTATAATATAATGAAATACTTTAATTCATGATTTATGTTACTTGGAAAAACAATTTTGCTTGACATTTCAATTGAACAGGCATTAGCACACAGAAGCAAGCATATAGCATGCTGAGCTGAAGCATGCATGCTGAAGTGTATTCAGACTAGTTTCTCTCAGCCAAACAGGACAAAAAGCCTTGCATGCTGCTAAATTTATCCTTGCAAATAAGAGTGTGAGTGTTGGAGTGTGCTCGATGAAACTGGTCACAAATTTTGGTGGGGGGGCAAACAGCTCTAATGCCACTTCCTGCCATGGGGTCAGTATGTGTGTGTGAGGCTGAGAGGTTACAGGCTGTCTTTATGTGCTCAGCAGAGGTCTCAAGGGCCAGAGGCAATTACTATGTGTTATACAGAGCAACTCACTCCAGAGCTAAGAGTCTTTTTTCATGTTCATAATTTTACTCAACTAGACTTGAATGTGCATGATGACTAAAAATTTGTTTTACTTTAGTATTGTGCAAAATAATGCACTTATTTACAATGTATTTGTTTATGCTCGAAATACATACAGTGTTAACACTGTGACATTTCAGTCAGGCAGATTCAGGTTCATGTCTCTGGCCTGAGAAAGCCTGAAGTGTGTTTCTGTAACCCTTAAACGTCCCTTTTAGATGTTTGGGGTAATCACTCTGCTTGTTCTTAAATTGCAGAGGTGAAGGGGTCAAAGGTGAAAATTTGCAGGATGTACTGGATTCCTTGCTGATTAGCACTTTCAGCCAAACTTTCACACAACACACACTGACTTCTTAGAGCTAATGGCTGTGCTCATACTCATTAGATCACTTCTCTCTCAGCGTGATCCCGAAGGCTAAGCCTGAGCCCCTTCTTAGCTTAAGCTAACCCAATTGCATAAAGAATGTTGTGAACACAATTTCTACTTAGGGGAACCCACTTGTAGAGGGTCCCCAACAGACAATTTTATGGGTTATTGCTAGGCTAAAGGCTAATAATGTCACTGAAACTACAAAGGTAATAATTCTGTTCAATTTACGGTTTAAAACCAACAGCTGTTGGTAAAAATGTATCATAACAAAAGCACAGTGACAATGTTTCAGGCAAGTTGGTGACTTATTAAAATCATAATATTAACAATACTGTACAGTATTATTTTAAAATAAAATATCGCACTGAAGAAGGCCTTGAGTTGAAACGTTTGTGTTTTGTCCTGCTGGTGATTAATGTAAAATAAAATATTAAGTGACAAAAGAGCACAGTTTCACTTTGTGAAAATAAAAAATCCTAAAATAAATTAAAAGGTAATTTATACTTTATAATAAATGTAATTTAAAAAAGATATAATTTTAAGATTAAACATATAATTGTTAATATATTATAATTTTTTCACAGTTAGCCAATCAACACATTTTTATTTACTGTAGCAGTTTGCCATTTTTTCCTTTTAACATTTTTTACAGTGTAACATCAAATGCATTTACTAATTTGATTTCCTAATCTGTTCCACTGTTTAATCTGCAGCTAATGTATTTTCTTCTTCTTGCACCCGCTTCTCTTTTTCAGGGTGCAGGTTTCCATGCGTCAAGGAGGCAGAAGTATGGGAACGTGTTCAAGACTCACCTGCTGGGACGGCCGCTCATCCGGGTCACGGGGGCAGAGCATGTGCGTAAGGTTCTGATGGGAGAACACAGCCTGGTCACTGTGGACTGGCCCCAAAGCACCAGCACTCTACTGGGTCCCAACAGTTTGGCCAACTCTATAGGAGACATCCACCGCAAAAGGAGAAAGGTAAGGTCCATATACGCTTGTTTAACACTCAAATGTAGTCTTGTTATGTGTGGGAACCATCCTTATCTCCTAATGGATGGTTTTTGTGTGCACCATTTCCCTGCCTTGCCAATGAAAAAATGTTTTGAATTTGTGAAAGGACAAAATAGAGTAAGAAGTGAGATGGAGTGAAAGAAAAAAGATAGTAGGTCAAATGGAAAAGGCTGTGCCATCCTTAGGTCCAGATTTGGAAACAGATACCCACAATGCCTTGCTCCCCTGTTCACTATTGTTACACATAACAGTCTGCTCACAATGGAGGATTATGCTCATAACTAGATTCTCCTCAAATCCAACCCATTGTCCGGGGACAAAATAGCTTTTTTGTGGACCCTGGTTCTTTTCAGTCCCTTGGAGGCTTGAGTTTCACCCCACACACCTGTTCCATTGAGGGGTCAGCGGGGTGTAATCAGTCTGGTTAATCCTCCTGGTCCAGGGCCTCACACAAACCCCCTAATGACTGCTAATTAGTCAGCCAGCCTCAGACAGACAAAGACAGCCTTATGGACCCTTCAGCCAGGTTTCAATGTCTTGCTCTGCACACTAATGTCATAAATATATTTTCATTTGTTCTTCAACCTCTCTGGAGGCATACAGCAATGTACTTTCTATATTTTAGACTGGAAAGGTATGTTCATCAACACGGCCTGTTAGAGCCTCTAAGCCCTCTGGGACGTCCTGTTCTAGGCATGACATTTGGGAAAGACATTTTTTTTTACTGTAAATGTCTCTTCGAAGACAATTGCTACACATATACATGTACTGGAGATACACTGAATGCAAGCATTAGATCCAAACGAGCTTGGGATGTAGCTAAATAAATGATATAATTTCCTAGAAGAAAACAAATTATAATTGATTTTAACTGGCTTTGTATTAATGGAAATTCTTAACGAAAGTTCTTCCATGTCTATATCTATGTTCTGGTCACTAACAGGATGCACAACAGCTCACTGAGTAATATTAGAAGCAACTAAATCACACTTGTTGATGCAGCTATAGAGCAGAAGGCCTATCAAGCTGTGGATTTGGTGAGGTGTTGAATTTATTAGGTTGGCCAGTAGAGGGCACAGGATCTTAATTCTGCACTCACCTGCCTACACAAAGTGTTCTCGCTGTGAATGAAGGATTTTGTTTTAGTCAGCGGGGGAGAGAGAGAAATGAGAGAGCAAGCGAGCGAGCGAGCGAGCGATTGGAAAAGTAGAGAGAAGTGTAAAGAAAGTGAATGGTTTGGGGGAGAGAATAAAGAGGTCTTTACATTCTGGTCAAACCAGCAGCTTTGAGCAGTTTCATATAATTTAAGACATATGGAAATTATTAGGGTGGGGGAGTTTTAAAAGGCCGTGTGTGTATGTGTGTGGAAAGTGCAGTACAAGAAGTCACGTTTTGTAATGAAGACAGGCGGCTGTTTTTTCCCCCAGTAGTGTTCAAATCGTGTATAATGGGGACTGGCATTAGTGGAGCTTGACTGACGTCTGTCTAGTACGCAAAGACTCGCAAAAGGAAAATAGCAACTTTCAAAAAAAATCCCAAACCAATAAGCAGCATAAATATGGTGTTGTATTGCATATATTAAATTATGGGTAGTAGCTAAGAGAGATGTGTGACGCAAACATGCTTGTAGACACTTTTTTTTCTCCACACATGTGGACCACTTTGATGTGCCAGAAAATGATCTGATGTTAGTGATGTAGTGGAATGGACAGATAACTAGTGTTTTTATATACATGGAGAAGGACACTGAAAACCAAGTGTAAATGGGTGTGAAATAATATTTATGATATACTAACAGCCAGTTAATCGCTTAGAGTTAGTTTAGAGTTAGATGAAGTGTGTCTGAGAAGAACAGCACGGAAAGGAGACACAAAGAAATGGGTCTTGGCGAGAGAAAGTCAGACGGAGAGACAGGAGGAGGACACACAAGTCTCCGCACCCCTTCCCTTTACTACTGTGGAAAAAAGTGGGGTGGAGACGATGTATTTGGAATGAGATGGCATATAAAAAGTGCTATTGTTAGTCGTGGGCACTGTGGAACATGGATGTTATTTCATTAAACAAACCAGCACAACTGAGGTACATTAGAAATGCGCAGCTGCAGCCAGGAAAATCTTACCTTCGCCTTTCACCCTCACTGCTGATGCAGAGGGAACTCTCTCAGATATTCTGAGAGCGAGGTGGAGGTAGGTGTGTGGCAGTTAAAAGTACGAGAAGGTCAAAAATAGTAAGGACTTCAGAATTAATGAGAATGGTCCATGCTTTAAACTATTAGACAAATAAGCTTGACCTTTAGGTGCTGACTATGGCTTCAGGATAATATTTTCATGAAAATTTCTTGCCTGGAGAGCACAGACATGCTGGATTGTGATGGATGATGTGATTCATGGGCCAGCAGCATTGTGGGAAGTGTAGTCCAGCAGTGCAGATCCATAAGCCTGAGTCAAAAACAAATCATTTTTGGAACAGTGCAACTCTGTTTTCATGCAATATACATGTAGATACAAACTCTTAAATAATATTGCTGTCAGTCAGTGTCAAACATCTGGGCAGGTTCATGAACATACATGTTTTTGGAAGCAGATCCCTCCCACTGCTTTCTTGGGCCAATCAGATCACGTCCTGGGCTCTTTGGTAAAATACAGGATGAAGCTGAAGTTTTGGCACTTGCAGCTGCAAATTTATAAAATCCTCATCTGATTGCAAAACTATTTATCATGTCATATTTGTTCTCTATTGATGCAAACACCAGAACACAGCAGACTGACTGCATTTTCAATTGTGTTTCTCAGATCTTTGCTAAAGTCTTCAGTCATGAGGCTCTGGAGAGCTACCTGCCCAAGATCCAGCAGGTCATTCAGGAGACCCTGCGGGTGTGGAGCTCCAATCCTGACCCCATCAACGTTTATCGGGAATCCCAGCGGCTCTCCTTCCACATGGCAGTGCGTGTATTACTGGGTTTCCGCGTCTCTGAAGAGGAGATGCACTGTCTTTTCCGCACTTTCCAGGATTTTGTGGAGAATGTTTTTAGCCTTCCCATCGACCTGCCGTTTAGTGGTTATAGGAAGGTAAAATTTCAATATGTGTTGTCTAAATCACTTCAAAATAGAAAAAGGGATTGGATCGTCTCTGCACATTAAGTACACAGTGACAGATCAACAAATAGACTTCAACTAATAAACTTTTTTGTACGTTTGCAGGGTATTCGTGCAAGAGACTCACTCCAGAAAAGCATAGAAAAAGCCATCAGAGAGAAACCTCTCCACACACAGGGGAAAGATTACACTGATGCTCTTGATGTGCTTCTAGAGAGCGCCAAGGAGAACAACACAGAGCTTACAATGCAGGAGCTCAAGGTGAGCGAAGCACCACTGATACACTACAGCTCTGTAGACAACATTTTAAGGCCTCACAGGCGCGCTTTCCTGAGTAAAGGCTATTCCGAACAGTAGTCAGCAAAATTATTAAAAATCGTGATATGTAAAACATAGTGGAAAAAACATACAGTGAATCAGTCACTGTGAAGCAAGAGAAATGTTGATTATAAATGTACAGCATAATGATACTAAAAACTATTGATAATTTGTTTCATCAGACAACACACTAATGTCAAACTCTACTGGAATCAAATGTGAGCACGTCTTGTGCACTTTGCCTACTGAGCACTATTTGTGTCGTGTGTAAGTGGCTGTTAAAGACAGTTGTAGCATATGTAGGGTCTTTCAAATCAGTGATAAAGAGAGTTTTAACTTCTTTTGGGATGCTTTTTTAAAAGGCAGCTGACTAGGTAGGCAGTAGAAAGCGAGGCAGTCTGTATTAAAAAATTGAATAACCGCCTAGTCTGCATAATAGAGGAGTTCTCTTTGACACACAATGTGAAGTCTTATTGAAACTGAGGTATTTTATCAGTTGTTTATGTCTATTTAATGCTGTACATTACACATCCGTAAAACTGGTCATGGTTTTCACCACACAGTCATCCTCCCAGTCTCTATTCAGTGTGAGGTCAAATTGTGATTACATATTAAAGTAAAACAGGAAGTCGACACTGTGATATTGAGAGACTTGCAGCGACTCTCTGGCAGCACACTTTACCCACTGACTGCTCTCTTTATTTCTCTTCTCTCTCTCCTGCTCAATTCTCTAGTCACATATCCAAACCGGGATGACAGACATTTAATGACACAGATAATAGTCAATAAATGCTTCCCTGTGGGCTATTGTTACCTGGTTATTCCGCTCGGCTCAGACGTTTCAGCTTTTTTCTTTTGTAAGGTACATGCGTAGTCTCCTCAGACAGTGGCGGCTCCCAGGCCTGTCAACACCAATTCACTGGCAAGCATTTAAAAAAGTGAGGGAGAGAGAAGAGAGAGAGAAAAGAAACCTGTGTAAGATGGCTGCCAAACCTCAAAGAAAAAAGAAGAGAGAAGGAAAGAAAAGAAATAAAGAAGCTCCATCCTAAGAATTCAGAAAAAGTCAGATTGCAGTGAAGTTGCTGACTAGAGACAATATATAATATACACTACTGTTCAGAAGTTTGGGAGCAGTCATTTTTTTTTCAAGAAATTAATACTTTTATTCAGCAAGGATGCATGAAAAGTAACAGTAAAGGCATATGTTGCAAAATGTTTCTATTACAAATAAATGCTGTTCTTTTGAACTTTCTATTCATCAAAGAATACAAAGGGTTTCCACAAAAATATTAAGAGGCGGAACTTTGATAATAAGAAATGTTTCTTGAGCACCAGATCAGCATTTTAGAATGATTACTGAAGGATCATGTGACACTGAAGACTTTAGTAATTGCTACTGAATATTCAGCTTTGTCACAGAAATAAATTACATTTTAAAATATATTAAAATAGAAAACAGTTATTTTAAATTGTATAACCCACAAGTAATATCAATGACATTTAAAAAAATATTTCTACAAAGTTTTATCTCTGTAATCAAACCATAAGTCATCAGTAACAGATGTCAACGTGCCAGAATATTAATGTCAAATATCTTAGACTAGCATCCATACATGTGACCCTGGACCACAAAACCAGTCTTAAGTCGCTGGGGTATATTTCTAGCAATAGCCAAAAATACATTGTATGGGTCAAAATTATAAATTTTTCTTTTATGCCAAAACTCATTAGGATATTAAGTAAAGATCATGTTCCATGAAGATATTTTGTAAATTTCCTACTGTAAATATATTAAAACTGAATTTTTGATTAGTAATATGCATTGCTAAGAACTTCACTTGGACAACTTTAAAGGCGATTTTCTCAATATTTAGATTTTTTCCAGATTCCAGATTTTCAAATAGTTGTATCTCAGCCAAATATTGTTCTATCCTAACAACCATACATCAATGGAAAGCTTATTTATTCAGATGAAAAATGGACCCTTTTGACTGGTTTTGTGGTCCAGGGTCACATATGTGTGATTTAGTCACAAATCTCTTTCTTTCTCCCTCAGGAGTCCACTATTGAGCTGATCTTCGCTGCTTTTGCCACAACAGCCAGTGCCAGCACGTCTCTGATCATGCAGCTGCTGCGACACCCTGCAGTGCTGGAGAAGCTGCGTGAGGAGCTGCAGAGTTGCGGCCTGCTGCATGACGGCTGTCTGTGCCAGGGCGAACTGCGACTGGACAGCATCATTAGCCTCAAGTACCTGGACTGCGTGATCAAAGAGGTCCTGCGTCTGTTTGCCCCTGTGTCTGGAGGTTACCGCATTGCCACACAGACCTTTGAGCTGGATGTGAGTTGTTGAAGATCTGCAGCTACTTTAAACCAAAAATTTAAATTCTGTCATCATTTAATCACCCTCATGCCATACATCAATGGAAAGCTTATTTATTCAGCTTTCAGATGATGTATAAATCTCAATTTCGAAAAATTGACCCTTATGACTGGTTTTGTGGTCCAGGGTCACATATTTATATTTGATATTCTTTTTATATTCTGTATTATTTATATTATATTTTTATTGTTTTAATTAACAATAACAACACTTCTAACCTCCTTTTTGGCCATCTTTCAGGGTGTACAGGTACCCAAAGGTTGGAGTGTCATGTACAGCATCCGTGACCCCCACGACACCTCAGCTGTGTTCAAGGACGTGGAGGCCTTTGACCCGGACCGGTTTAGCCCAGAGCGGAGCGAGGATCGTGAGGGCCGCTTCCACTATCTGCCCTTCGGCGGTGGTGTTCGCTCCTGCCTCGGCAAGCAGCTGGCCACTCTCTTCCTCAAACTCCTAGCCGTGGAGCTCGCGGGAGGGAGCCGCTTCGAACTGGCCACGCGGACATTCCCACGCTTGATTTCGGTCCCCGTGGTGCACCCCACCGACGGCCTTTGTGTCAAATTCTTCGGCCTCGACTCCAATCAGAATCAGATCATGGCCAAGTCGAATGAGATGTTGGATGCCACCGTGTGACAGACTGGGCAGAAGAAGGAACAGACTTCATATTCTGAGCTGTCACCTGAAGTTCAAAAGACTCTCATTTGCCAAAAATGTATAGTCTATAATTTGTAAAGAAGTATATCATAAAAATATAAATTTTACTGAACGTATTGCTACATCAGGAGAGCACAAGAGGAAGGTTTCAGAAAAGAAGAGGTGAAAGGGACAGTCATATTAGCCGATGTAGATGTCACAGGGTCTTGAGATGAGAAGTTTTGTGTGAGTGTTTTTCGTGGATGCTGAGTTCATTAATATGTATATACAGTATGTGTGGTTTCTGTGTGTGTAAATACATTACGTTTTCTTGTGCGAATGTACGCGTGTGCCTGTTTGCGTGTGTGGACAGCTTGTTTTTCAGCTAAGGTATTAGGAGTTAGAGTAGGCAGTGCAAACTAGAATGAATGAGAGGATTGTGTAATTTACTCAGGTGTGTTAGCAGTACAGAAGGAGCTTTCAGACTAACCCAGTACTTGTTATACATGCTCTGTACATGAGTGACAATCCATAATATTTTTTTTAAGAGAGCGTGAAAAGGAGGCGAGCGATGAACAGAGATATATGACTCGTCAGAGACTATAAGAGAAAATTAACCTGTGCAGGCTCTCAAAACAAGCTATAGAGGGAATGAGGGATTCATTCCTGCTGCAAATGTTATATCTGAAGACAATTATGAAAACAAAAAAGCAAAAAAATAAGTCATAACTGTCATATATGCTGCTTTGGGAGTCGCTTTTTATTTATATGATGGAGCAGAGTGCCACCTGACCTCTGCAAAGAGGAAGGCTTCTTTTTTTTCTGCTCCACATCAATATAAGAAAAAATTATACTGAATATACAGTAGATGATGGTGGAACTGATTGGACAATGATCAGTCAGTAACTCTATATACCACCAATCAGAAGAGTTTTCTTGAGACGCCTCTGAAGGGACTTTAAAGGCAGTTAGGTGAGAGGCACTAGGACTCTGAGCAACCCGATGAGGGTTCTTCCTTCACTTCCTCTACAGGCCACGCGAAGGACTTTACTTTGATAAAATATACCACTGATCTTTTTTT